AGAACCTAAGCCTTTATTTTCCATAGTTTCAGTATATCACATGGCCCCTGCCCTCAAGTATCTTACAACTGAATTGAGAAGACAGGACAGGCAAGCACACACATGTAAACAATTAGAGAAGAGCAGGGGACAGCACGCCAGAATTTCAGAAAGGCCCTCTGAGGTAAGTAATCCAGCCCTTCCCTAAGCATAAGTAACGTCCACAGCATCCCGGACAAAGGCCTGAGTTTGGACTTGATTTGGTGGATGGTTTGGGGGCAGGGGAATACAAAGTAAGAACTGTGCTCTAGGAAGGTTCATCTGTCAGTAGTGTGGAGGATGGACTTTGGAGGAGAACACCAGTTGTTTTCATCCTCCTAATGACTTGAGTCTGACGTAAACACTGAGTAACATAATCTGCCCCCTCAACACTCAGCCTGTCATCAGTTAAATTGATGTGCAGTGCAGGTCTGACCTTTCCCTTTCATTTACAGGAACTAGACTAGATTTGCTGCATCTGAAGGTCAATAAGGTCTGGGCTGCGGGTAGTGCTTCAGTATGAGAGCTAAGAAAAGGGGGCAAGCCACACTATGGCCCTGGTGCCATCCTCTGGGCCTCTCCATCATGCCCCAGGAACCTTCTCATCCTGCAAGATCACTTTCCTTCATACCTTCTGCCCCTGTGGTCCCTCTCCCCCTCTGATTGGAGGGCAGAGAGCTCTCCTCACAGAACCCCCATTGGAGGAGGGTGCCATCTCTTCCTTTTCTACCCAGCTGCACTCCTGGGTACTTCCCCATCATGCCTGTCCTCACTAATCCTGGTATCTTCTTCCACCTCTGTCTGTGCCCATGCCTCCATTCTCCACTTTTATTTGTTGTCTTCAATGCAGATTGTAAGCTCCTTGAGGACAGAGACTGTCTTTGCCGTTCTTCGTATTCCCAGCTCTTTACACAGTGCCCGGCACATATTAGGTGCTTAATATATGTTCACTGACTAACTACATGACATACTAGCCCACTAGTCCATTCCATGCCCCTCTTTTCTCATTTCTGTCCTGTCTCTACCCTTCTCCTGTCTAGTTCTCTTGTCCCTCCTTCCTTGCTCTCCTAGACAGCCCTCCCTCACTTAAATACAAGTCACTTGAAAGTCATGGCATCACCTTTCTGCTGTCATGGTTCTCTTTGAGAACAAAGGATAAACAACAACATCTGTCTCTCCTTCTTTCTTCTTTTATTTCTCGTCATCCCCTCTTCTGTTTCCTCTTGCCCTTTTATTTTATGCCTTTAATGATTTATGGGTATTGGTTTGCCCACTCACTGAAACAAAAGTTTAAAAGTGTGTTGACTCCCACTTTGGACTGCCATGGCTTTATGTCTTCACATTACAGGGCATGAGAGATGAAGGTAAGCTTAAGCAGATTATTTAGCTGGTTGAATGCCCAAATCAAACAGGAATACATAACAGATTCATGAAAGTTGGAGAAAATCTCCAATAAAGTGCACCAGGGATCTGTCTTTAGTTTTGTTCAACATCTTTATCAATGATTGGTTTAAGGCAAAGATGTAATGTGTCAAGTGTATTATTTATACATGAGCTGAAGCATCGTTTTCAGTTCTCCCACCATATTTTAGGAAGGACATCAAAAAACTAGAGGGTGTCCTTAAGAGGGCAGCCAAGTTAGTTAAAAGATTGGATACCATGGCTAAGTTAAAGGAGGCTTGGAGAAGGGAATACATAGAAAGGACATGATAATTTTACTTAGACATTTGAAAAGCTGCTATGGCAAAGAGGGAGTAGGATTGTTCTTCTTGGGCCTGGAGGTCCGAATTAGGAGTCAAAGAGTAAAAATGGTGGAGACAGGTTTTGGCTAAACCTAAGAGATGTACCAAAATGGAATGGGATGCTTTAGAAGGTAATGAGTTCTCTGTCACTGGAGGTCTTCAAGCAAAGATTGGATGACTACTCATTAAGAATAGAAGGGATTCCTATTCTACAAGGTCATTTCAGATCTAAGAGTTTGTGGGTCTAGGATTCCATAAAAGGCTATATTATGTCACTTTTGAATAGAGTGTTGAATTATAAGTGGGAATAAACTTACACTTGCTGACTTTACCAAGCAGAGAGGGTCCAGGAGCAGCGTCTTTCTAGAAAATCTATGTTTCATAGAAAAGATGCCAAGCCCAGTCTTCTTCCTGAATCATTATGGCCTCATGAACATTACAAAGAGGAACCTAAATTGGGCTTGTGAATTTCTGACTTTGGAATTTGAAAAAAAAATCAGACAAATTGCCCAGGGGCTTAATTTAAAAAAAAAGAAAGAAAGAAAACTCAAATGAGAGACAATGAATGACCATTTAATCTTTCCTTCCCTCTTTTTGAGAAGGCCATCCCACACTCTGTAAACAGCTGAAAAGGAAAATGTCTCCGATTTGACAGGACACAATGGATCTAACACAACACGGAAATGCCAGGAGATGTGTGCGGGGGATGGCGAGAGCAGGGGGAGGAAGGCCTTCCTTGATGGACTGGCACGGAGGAGGCCTGAGTGATCCGACGTTTCCATTTCTAAATTTTCTCCCTGAATAGAGGCCATTGTGTGAGCAGGATTCCAGCAGCACTGAGCATCCCCAAGAGTGTTGGGATTTACTAACCCTTGTGCCGGAGGAAGCCGGAAAGTATCGGGCAGAAGGCATTTTTACAATATTTGCCTGTTTTCTTCACGGAAAACCACGTGGTCCAATTATCATAGGCTTTCTGGCTGGCATATTATTTGTTCCTTACATAGAAGGAGTCTTGGGGGAAAAGGGAATGATGCAAATGGTGTAGAGAAAAGGGAGGACGGGTGGGCAGGAGAAACAGAATTCCCACCCCCAAGGGATGGACATTGGAAGAGCTCACCAATATGAAGCCAGTGGCTCTCAGACTATATTGTTCCAAAAGGTGATTCAATCAATAAACATTTATTAAGCTCCTACTGTATGCCAGGTATTGGGTATACAAAGATACAAACAAAAATTCCTGCCCTCAAGGAGTTCCCATTCTACCAAGGAAAATAAGAAATAGGCATCATGGAGGCAACTCTTAAATAAATTAAATTCTTCACACAGCAGTATTTGATAACATTCTTCCACCCATCCCTTGAGATAATCTGTGCAAGAGAAAAAGTGCTAGACTTGGAGCTAGGGGGATCTGAGTTCAAATCCCAGCCCTAACTTAGTAGCTGGGCAACCAAGCATGGCATTTACCATCTCAGAACATCAGGGTCACTTCTCACATGGAGACACTGATTCCCCATTATCTCCCATGGACAAGAGGAAAGTGCTTTGTAGACTCCTCAGGGCTAAAGAAAGGTGAGTTCTCATTATTAAGTCCTATCCCTTGTCTTATGTTGTAGGCTTACTTTGATTACTCTCCCATAAGTACACAAGAAACCATGGTGAATGATTCATGAACCCCGTCCAGAACACTCTAGGTAGCCCAGAGAGTCCTAGATGCAGACTCTGCCCCCCCAATCCAATGAGGAAGTCATAAGCAAAGAACGGCCTGAACCAGTTGGCATACACATATCATTTGGGGTTGGGGGGTTGGGGTGGAGGGGCCAGATTGGGAATTCCTAGTAAGGAAAATCCCTTCCTCAGATACAGGTCAGTATCTGCTAACAAATTCCTAGTGGGAGAGAGTTTCCCTGGAGCACAAAAAGGGAATTTGCCCAGGCTCACACAGCAACCCATGATCGTCCTCACTCCACTCCCATCATTTGTGTCTCCATCAAATCATGGAGCTGGACCAGGTAATTTCCCCAGGTCCTTTTCACCAGCATTGGTGCAAGGAGAGGACACTAAACTGAAAGTCAAGAGATCCAAGTTTGAACCTCATCTCTACAAAATACTGTGCAGGCAACTCACTCCCCCTCTTTGAAGCCTTGGTGTCTTCCTCTGTCCAGTGAAGTGGCTGGATCAGATAGCCTCTAAGATCCCTTGCAGCTCTAAAGCCTTTGCTCCATAAGAGGCATGTGCTAATAAAAATGAATATGCCCATTCTTTGCATCATTAGGAATCCCAACTCCTAGCAGGTCTTCTCTAGAGAAGCATCTTCTAATGGTCTGCCCCCAATAGGGAGTGTTTAGCTAAATGCAAAGGATGGGACAGGGTCAAGTCTGCTACAGAAAAATGACAAAAACCAGAAACAATGAGGACAGACTAACCCTAAAGTAACCCCTCCTAACCCTAATCTAGTAACCTCTAACCCTGACACAGACAGTAAACAGCAAAATTGGGGTCTACCTATCCATCTATTCACCCATCCATCCACCCATCCATTCATCTATCCATCCATACATCCATCCAACTATCTATCTATTTATCTGTCTATCCATCCATATCTCTCTCTTTCTTTCTATCACACATACGATTAGAGATGGCAGGAACAAACCATAGGGGTCAATGAGTTCAACCTCTTCCTTTTACAGATGAGGTTGGCTCAGAGAGGTTGTGACTTGCCCAACATCTGCGAAAGAAGGGAGGAATTTCAAAAGCTAGAGATGGGGGAGTTGATTAGGGAGAATCCATCCCTGGCATCAGGGATGGTATGTAAGCAAAAACACTATCAGAATATCAGTAACAATGAAATGAAGTGTGGAAATACAGCTATGGGTTACCTACCACTTCAGTCCATTTTCCTATTTTGATACTGAGAAATATGCCGATGATGGATGTCACAAGATGCTGCAATTCTCCAGCCCGGCTAAGAGTTTAGCATTTTCCACACAAATGCTCATGATAAAGTTACCTGATTATCATTAACAATACCAATCATAACCCACATTCATATAGCACCTGAAGATTTGTAAAGTATTAATTTAAAAGGTTAAAATGATTTTTTCAAATTTAAAACGTATGATTTAAAAGCCCATTGTCTCTCTTCATTTCAACACCAGTAGAATTGGCTCAGTCAGCTCCATGGGCACGAAGTAGGAACACATTATTGGGGCTTTATCAAGGCTTTTCTAGGGAGAGACTTACCACTGCAGGGTGGCAGGCGTCGAATGGGGTTTGGACGCTCGGTTATTTTCTTTCTCCTCATCTGTGAAAGGAAAGGGAAGGAATTAGATTCAGTGGGAAAAGGCAAAGGGTCTTGACTCTTTGTTGGAATCATGTGTGCCTGCCTGTTTGGTCTCCCATCCACAATTAGAAGCCTGCCACAGACACTTCATATCCCTGGTGCAGTGGGCAGAAGGCTGAAGTGGAAGTGAAGAGCACCTGGGTTTGAATCCTGGATTCTGCCTCTTAGTAGCTGTGTGACCTTGGGCAAGTCACAGCCTCTCTGGGCCAAGGTCTCTTCATCTGTGAAGGGACAAGGTTAGGCTAAGAGGCCTCCAAGATCCCCTTCACCTCTAGACCTATGACCCTATGATCATCGGACATACTAGGGAAACTAAATTAAACAGCGGCAGAGAGCAGCTCACAAGGCCATAACCGTGGACCTCTGGGGGAGTCTTCTACCCAGCCGGCGAACAAGATTAGATTGTGAGCTTCTTGAGGGCAGGGGCTAACTTTTGCCTTTTTTTGGTATCCTAGCCTCAGCACAGTGTCTGGCACACAGTAGGTACTTAATAAATGCTTCCTGACTATTGATTATTGATAAGAGATCATTAGAAAGGAAAGCGCCTAAAACTTTTATTTGCTCTAGTCCAGGGGTGCTTAACCATTAGATGGTAAGCTTCTTGAGGGCAGGGGCTGACTTTTGCCTCTTTTTGTATCTCCAGCACTTAGCAGAGTGCTTAGCACATAGTAGGTACTTAATAAATGTTTATTGACTGACTAACAAGATACTACTAATTCGTCCCTGTCTTCAAACAGAATTTCACAAGACATTGCAGTTCTCCAGCCCAGCTAAGAGCTTACCATTTTCTATACAAATACTCTTAAGGCTTTTCACATAAGTTACCTGATTTATCATTCATAATGACAACCATAACTCACATTCGCGGGATGATCAGGAGTGTCTAGCCAGGGGGCCTAAAGCAGGAGGCACTGATTCTGGGCCAGTATCCAACCTGACACACAGACTCCATCCTATGTAACAGCCCCGCAATGGCTCTTTGAGAAAGGGAATGCCTGGCCTCAGTGGAGCCCTGCTCTCTCCTCTTTATTTACTTGCTTTGTCTGAATGTGGAATATATAACTATAGGCAGGAGCACCAGTGTAGGAGCCCCCTCCACCAATGGGTCAGAGTGGGCTATGGATTAGCAAAGTATCCTGTAAGGTCAACGGATCACAGATCTCAGGCACCTTGACTTGTTCACTCATTTCAGTCTGACTCTCCGTGGCCCCATTTGGGGTTTTGTTGGCAGAGATACTGGAGCGGTTTGCTACTTCTTTCTCCAGCCCATTTTACGGATGAGGAAACTGGGGAAGTGACTTGCCCAGGGTCACACAGCTAATAAGTGTCTAAGGCTAGATTTTAAGTCCTGACTCCAGGCCCAGCGCTCTATCCACTGCACCACCTAGCTGTAGTCCAACCCTCACATTTTACAGATGAGAAAGCTGAGGCAAGAGGAATGCGGTGACTTATGCATGGTTCCATAGCTAGTGAATAGCACAGCAAGGATTCTAACTCAGAACCTCTGACTCCAAACTAGGGACCTCCCCCCTCAATGCCACCCTCACAGGGTCCTTTTCCCAGCTGGCCTCTCTTTCCTTTCTGTTTCTGTCACTTTTCTCCTTCCTCCAAGGTCCACTCCAGTCCCCCTTCCTTCCTCTGTCACGTGGGGGAGCTCTCCCTTCTCTGAAGGCCCAGATCCCTGCAGGACCAGAGGACCTGGTGGCACATTTATTATTGGCCTTGTTGTGCCCTGATGCCCCACCCAGATTCTAAGAGAGGAGACGCTGCTCCTAGCCTGGGGCCTTGGCACAGACCAGCTGTGCTTGGGATGTACCGGTTGTTCATTGGCTTTAAGAGTTGAAAGGAACCTATATCAGATGTGTGCCATCTTGGGGAGGGAGAGAAGAATTTAAAACTCAAAAGCTTATGGAAGTGATTGTCAATAAATCAAAATAAATTAATAAAAGAGTTGGGAGGAACCTCACAGACTGTCCTGTCCAGCCCTCTCATTTTAGAGATGAGGAAACTGAGGCACAGAGAAGTAACATTTAGAGATTTAGAGCCAGAAGGGACCTCATAGGTCCTCGAATTCAACCCTCTTGTTTTATGATGAGAAAACTCAAGTCTGGAAAGATTAAACGACTTGCTGAGGGTCATATAGCTAGTAAATGGCCTAGGTGCAATTTAAACCTGTCTTCCTGACTCCGTGGGCAGCTAGGTGGTGCATTGGATAGAGCACTGCACCTCAAGTCAGGAAGACCTGAGTTCAAATCCAGCCTCAGACACTTCCTAACTGTGTGACCCTGGGCAAGTCACATCACCCTGTTTGCCTCAGTTTCCTCATCTGTAAAATGAGTTGGAGAGGGAAATGGCAAACCACTCTAGTCTCTTTGCCAAGAGAATCCCAAATGGGGTCACAAAGAGCCAGACGTGACTGAGCAAAAACAATTCTTTCACCTACAAAGAAAGCACTTTAAAGTTCCTCACAGCGTGGCCATTTTTTAACTCTCCAATCTTATTACACATTGGCCTTGTTGCTGACCTTCACACCTGCTACTCCATCTCCCCCCCTCCCCCCTCCCCCAACCTTTGCCTTGGCTGTTTCCAATGCCTGGAACACTCTCCCCCCGCTCACTTCTACATCTTGGAGTTCTTGATTTTACTTCAAGACTCAGTTTGCCATCTTTTTCAATACCCTGAGGAAGATAAGAAAAATCAAATCTCAGGGCAGGGCTGTCATGGCTTGCTGGGAAGGAACTGACAATCTGCCTGTGGCTAGTAAACTCCTACCTCCTCTTCTCCTAGTCCAGGGTCACACAGTTAGTAAGCATCTGAGGCTGGATTTAAACTCAGGTCTTCCTGACTCTAGGCCTGGCACTCTATCTATTGCCCCACCCAGCTCTAGTCCAACCCTCTCATTTCACAGATGAGAAAACTGAGGTCAGCTACCTGGGCAAAACATTCCCATCTCCCATCTGCCCCAACCCTATCAGGTCTACTCTCTCCTGTTTCATTGTGCCCTCTGAACAAACAGCCCTTCCTATTAGACCTCTTCCCTTCAGCCTCCCTTCACCTCCTCACAATCATGGACACCTGGCTCTCACCCCCATCCCCAAAGACCCTGCATCCCTGCCCCCCCAGTACCGACTGTGCTCCTGGACGCTGCTCCAGAAGGAGGAGCGGGTCTGCAACTTGGCCTTCTCCCCCACCTGTAGATCCTCAACATGCCTCCATCACTCAGCAAGCTTTTCTTCTTTGAACTCTCTCCACTCAGATCTACTACCCAATCCAAATCTTAGTTGCCATAACCTCCCCACCCCTAGTTCACTCCCTCTCCTCTCTCAGGAATCCAGCACCCAGCTCACAGCCATCCTTTCCCTCACAAGCCTTGGTCCCCATACCTGGGAACTTCGATATACACACCGACGGCTCCTCAAAAAGTTTGGTCTTTCAGGCACATCAGTGACTATAACTGAACTCCACCCCTCCCACACACAAAGATGGTGGTATCTTTGAGCCCATCACTTGTAACTCTTCTGCTTTTCCATAAGCTGGGACTCTGACATTCCCCTCTCAGGCCCCAAACTCTTGTCCTTCCTTCTATCCCTCGGCCTTGATCCTTCTAACCCTATTCCTCACCCTCCTCATGACCTCTCTGTACTTCCTCTTACCCCTTCCTGTTTTCCCAGGCCATCTCCCTGCTTGGGCCTCACTTTTCTGTCTTCATAATCTTGACCTACACTGGTTGCCAAACTGTTTTGATTGTACAACCCTCTCAACACAAAATGTTTGTACGTGCAGTCTAACACATGCATATTTATTTTTAAATCATCTACATGTATGCCATACTCATAACTTTGTATATTATGAAGCTTGCACACACAAAAATTAAAGAAGGATGAGATACAGATGACATAATACTTCATCCTAGAGTCAGTAGGAGCCACTGGAGTTTCCTGAGCAGAGGAATGACATGGCCAGACCCAGGCTTTAGAAAAATCACTTTGGCAGCTGTGTGGGGAACTGGGAAACGGAGAGACTGGAGGCAGGGAGAGCAATGCATAAGTAATAGTCTAGGCAAGAGGTGATGGGGTACTGAACTGGAACTAGGTGTGAGTGGAGAGAAGGAAACGGATGCAAGAGATGCTTTGGAGGAAGAAACAAAAAACTTTGTCAACCGATTGGGCTGGTGGGAGGTGAGGAGTTGAAGATGACACTAAAGATACAACTTTGAATGACTGGAAGGATGGTAGAGTCCTCAACGGTATTAGAGAAGTTTGGGCAAAGACTGGGTTTGGTGGGTCTAGGGATCTGGACTACCATTTTGGACCCTATGGCTACAGTGAACCAATTCAACTTTATACTCTCCTTTGCTCTCAAATTCTCAACCTTTTTCACGTCTCTGTTTATGCTGTTCCAAAGTAACCTTGGATTACTTCCACTATCCACCTCCGACCATCTACCATCCATCATCCACCTTCTTTCTTACACTTTCTACCTTCCATCTTCTGTCATCTTCCACCTTCCACCTTCCACCTTCCACCTTTTACCTTTTACCTTCTACAATCCACCATCTGCCTTCTATCTTAAAACTTTCTACATTCCATCTTTTACCATCCACCTTCCACTATCCACTACCTATCATCCACCATCCAACTAAAAAGACATAGAAGAGGTGGAGATAAGGGGCAGTGACTGAGGACAGATGGATGAGGTGGAAAGGCCCTATAAAAATGGTGTCAGGAAAGCCAAAAACCCAGAATGAGATGAGGCTCACAACAGGTGCTAGACAATAAAAGGGGCTTTGGGTGGGTGAGGGAAAGGAAGAATTGGCTCAGTGTCCTGGAAGAACTCAGGCTTTGCAATCAGACAGCCTGTGTCCAGATTCCTGGCCTGTCATGATAACCTGAGGCACACTGGACAAGCTGTTTAATATCTCTGTACCTTGGTTTCTTCTGTTATCTAAAGAGACAGGAATT